GCTGTGTCCCAGCAAGGCTCTGCAGACACAAAAGGGAGCAGAGCTCTGCTCCAGCAGGAGAACTCTCTGCCTTTGGGGACAGCAGCTGCGGGAGGAAGGTGAGCCCAGAGCTCCCAGAACGAGCCCTGGCTGCTGCTGCTCCTGCCTCCTGTGACCAGGGAGCTTCTGGAGTGTCCAAAGGAGCAGGAGAGCTCCCTTGCTACGCTGCTCGCTTTGGGGAAGAGCCTTTGGGCAAAATCTTTGTCCTTCCTGCCCTCCCCTCTGCCCTCCCCTCCCTGTGGGTTACGAGGGGGCTTTCAGGGCCTCCTCCCTGCAGACAACAATCCACCTTCTGTTCTTGCATCCTGGCCAGAGTCCTGCCAGGGCTGACAGGCTGGGATAAACCTCCGAGCTGGAGATTCCCCTGCTGCCCGTGGGAAATGCCAGGCAGAGCTGGCAGGGCACCCTGCCCAGGCGTTTCCCCGCAGCCAGCCCGGCACACGGGGGATGGCAGCCTCCGTGTCTCCTCCTGATGCAAAATCCATTCCTCACCTCATTTGCAACCCCAGCGAGCCACGAGGCCGTGCCTGCCCTGCTGCCCTCTGTGTTTTCCCTCCTGGCTGGAGGCAGGTGGATTTCTGGAGCTGAGGACACTGGCTGCCAAGCCCTGAGCCCATCCCAGCTCTGGGAACTCACCCCACACCTTCAGCAGGACAAGGAATCTTTTCAAGCCAGCTCAGCAGTTCAAGCAGGAAAAAAAAAAAAAAAAAAACCAATCCTCATCCCCACATTTACAAAACATAATATTTGCAAAACAGCCCAGTAAATCTCAACTGTTTTTCACATGCAGAGCAAATAACCCCATAAACCCTGGCGAGGAGCTCAGAGCAAACACTGCTCTCCTTGCCCAGGGCTGGGCAGAGTCCACCCTGTGCCAGGCAGGGCCAGCAGCCCTGGGAGAGGAGGGGAAGGGAGAGGATGCCCCGATGTGCAGGGTGCTTGCAGCCCAGCCCAGCCCAGCCCAGCCCAGCCCAGCCAGAGCAGCTCCAGCACCAGGAAATGGAGCAGAGAGAGCTCCCTGTCCTTGCCTTCCTGTCAGTCAGGTTCAAAGAGAGAAACTGAGAGTTTCTAACCAGGCAGAAGCCTGAGAAACTGTTGTGAGGAATGGAAATAAGGTTCTTTATCTCTCTCGTTGTTCACATAGTTTATAGATAATTTTGCCAGTGTCCTAACTCTAAACTTTATTACTCTACCCGTATTACTATTTTTATAACCATGTTATTATTATTAAACTTTTAAAATTTTTTAAAAAACCAAGTGATTGGCATTTCTCACACTGGGGACCCCAGGAATATCCATTTCACTCGTTCCTCTCGCAGATCAGCCCAGAGCTGCTGCCAGGCTGATACCTCCTGTCTGTTTGCCAAGAGGCAGCAAAACCCCAATCATCCCATCTGCTGCAAGGCTGCCGTGTGGGCGGAGCAGGGAAACACCCCTGCAGCATTTCCAGGCTGAGGGTCAGCCGCTGGAAATGCATTTCCAGCATTTCCAGCCCTGAGGATTGGAGCTGGGGCTGCTGTCCTTACCCAGGGGCTCTGTTTGCTCCTAAAGCCAGCTGGAGCTGGGGGCACATCCTGCATTCCCCACCCAGGGCTGCTCCTGCCCCAGCCAGAGCAGCCACGGGCTCTGCAGGGCTCAGAATCCCAGAATCACAGGATCCCAGAATTCACAGAATCACAGACTCACAGCATCACAGAATCCCAGAATCACAGAATCACAGAATCCCAGAATTCACAGAATCACAGAATCCCAGAATCACAGAATTCACAAAATCACAGACTCACAGCATCACAGACTCACAGAATTCCAGAATCCCAGAATCACAGAATTCACAAAATCACAGAATCACAGACTCACAGCATCACAGAATCCCAGAATCCCAGAATCACAGAATCACAGAATCACAGAATAATGAGGTTGGAAGAGACCTCTAAGATCATCAAGTCCAACCCATGCCCAAACACCACAACTAGACTACAGCACCAAGTGCCAAGTCCAGTCTTTTTTTGAACATATCCAGAGATGGTGATTCCACCACCTCCCTGGGAAGACAATTCCAGTGCTTTATGATTCTTTCAGTGAAAATCTTTTTCCTAATATCCAACCTGTACCTTCCCTGATGTAGCTGAGGCTGTGTCCTCTTGTTCTGTCAGTGCTGCAGGTGGAAGAGACGGACCCCACCTGTCTGAACCTCCCTTCAGGAGCTGTGGAGAGCAATGAGGTCACCTCTGAGCCTCCTCTTCTCCAGGCTGAACAACCCCAACTCCCTCAAATGTTCCTCGTAGGGTTTGTGTTCCCAGCCCCTCTCCAGCCTCGTTGTCCCCTCTGGATGTGCTCAAGCATCTCAATGTCCAACACAAATTGGGGAGCCAGAACTGGACACAGCACTCGAGATGTACAGGGCTCCTGCTGCTCCTTGGATGCTGCTCTGAGCAGCTCAGCCCTGCCAGCTCCTCCCCAAACGTTCTGGGTGCTCCAGAAGCTCAGGTCCCTCTGTAACACACAAATCTCCCACAGAAGTTTCTGTTTCCTGCCCTTCCTGCACTGCGCTTCACACCCATTGGATTGGCTTCATTTCATGGGCTGAGTTAACCATTCTGCAGTCACCTTTAGGGGTAAAAATGGAAATATAAATTGTGGCAAGCACATTTCTCTCCCTCTCAGGGTTTTTCATAGAGGTGCACAGAGAGAAATTAAAAAGAAAACCATTCCTATTTCTGCTCCTTGTTTTTCCCATGTGGGATGTGTGTGGAGAATTGTTTCCCTGGGGTGATGCTTGGTTGGATTCTGGTGAGGATTGTTTGAGCCTGGTGGCCAATCCAACCCACCTGGGGCTGGGCTCTCAGAGAGGGGCACGAGTTGAGTTAGAGTCAGAGAAAGTCGTATGGAGTTTTAGTATCCTCCTTTTATACAGTATATTAATGTATTTTTGCATAGTTATAATAAAGAAATCATTCAGCCTTCTGAATTGAGTCAGACATCGTCATTTCTTCCCATTGGGTTCTCCTGCATTTACAATAATAAATAAATAAAAATAGATTAAAATATTAACTTTACTGCTTCCCAGAGCTCTCTGGCTGTATCCTCTCCCCAAGGCAGGGCTCAGCTCCCACAGAAGATCAACCTCTTCAAGAACCAACAAAACTGAGAAGCCCCTGAGGTCACTGTAACAAAAATTGTCACTTCCAGCAGCCCTCATGAGGCTCTCCTCAGCCCTGGGCAGGTTTTTGCAGCACTCCCATCCTGCCTTTTCTGTCGCAGATGGAATTCCCTGGCAGAGGACAG